GCCCTCTGGGTCGAGGTTTCCTCCCCTGCAAAAGAGTCGCTGGCCAGGGGGCTTCGGCGGCCTGTCCTTTCTCTTTCTTTTTCTTTGTTTATTGTGGTAAAATGCACTTAACATAAAACATACGCTTTCAGCCATTTGGAAATGCACAGTGGACTAGCATTCATAGGGTCATGATGTGCAGCCGTCACCACCGAGCCCCTGAGCCTTTTCACCATCCCAAACGGAAATGCTACACCCCTCAGCAGTCACCCTGAACTCCCTGCCACAGCCCCTAGCAGCTACCCATCTGCTTTCTGCTTTTTCTTTTTTTTTTTTTTTTTGAGACAGAGTCTCACTCAGTCACCAGTGCAGTGGTGTGATCTTGGCTCACTGCAACCTCTGCGTCCTGGATTTTAAGCTGTTTTCCTGCTTCAGCCTCCCAAGTAGCTGGGATTATGGGCACAGAGTACCACACCTGGCTAATTTTTGTATTTTTAATAGAGATGGGGTTTCACCATGTTGGCCAGGCTGGTCTTGAAGTCCTGAGCTCAGGTGATCTGTCTGCCTCGGCCTCCCAAAGTGCTGGGATTACAGGCGTGAGCCACAGCACTCTGCCCCATCTACCTTCTGCCTGCAGATTTGCCTGTTCTGGGCATCTCAGGTAAACGGGATTGCATACTCTGTGGCTTTTGTGTCACTCTATCCATGCTGTGGCCTGTGCCAGGACATCCTTCCTTTCTATGGCTGAAGAATATGGCCTCAGTTTCCTCTTGGGGCAGGGTGAGGATCAGGATGGACCCTTCATTCAGGACGACCTGGGGAGTGGGCTGGCGAGATGCAGGAGGACGCCCAGCAGAGTCTCCGTTTTGGGGCTGATGGTAACTGGGATCACGAAGCACTCGACGGTCACAGTCCCCACCTAAGAGAAGGCAGGGGCGGGAGGGGAACACCCAGAGCCACATGTGGACGTGGCCCAGAAGGCTTCCCAAGAAGTCACCTCCCTGCTGAACAGAACAGAAATAAGAAAGAAGCCCATCCCAGGCTGGGGGAACAGCAGACGCAGAGCCCTAGGGATGGGAAGAAGGTTGGCACGGTGCCCCGGGCCCTGCAAGACTCTGAGCACAAGGACCCTGGATGCCAACTGAAAATACTGGGAGGAGCCCTCAGGCCTGACCCACTGCCCTCTGCCCACCCCCAGAAAATGGCAGCTGCCAGGCCCAGCCTAGGCCGAGTCCTCCCGGGATCCTCTATCTTGTTCCTGTGTGACATGCAGGAGAAATTTCGCCACAAAATCGCCTACTTCCCACAGATCGTCTCGGTGGCTGCCCGCATGCTCAGGGTATGACCTCAGGGACCCCACCCTCAGACCCAGGATCCAGGCTCAGCCCTCTACCTTCAGACCCAGGATCCAGACTCAGCCCTCCACTCTCAGACCCAGGATCCAGGCTCAGCCCTCTACCCTCAGACCCAGGATCCAGACTCAGCCCTCCACC